TTTTTTAACGAGGCAACAGTAAAACATGCTACCTTAGTTTCGAAGGCCGACCTAAAGCCGGAGTTGCTGATCACCTATACCGGATCGACAGTATTTGAGCCCTCACAAGTTCAGTCTCAAATACTGGGGGCCATTACCCCATAAGTTAGGATCTTCAAAAGGTGTTATTATTTAATACTAAAAGCCAAGGCTTGATGATTAGTATTCGTTGTAAGTGTCAAACGGTCAAATAAACCGTATCCATATAGCCCACTCTTTCCATGGCATAAAGCTTATGCACCTCCGATTATGAACTCTACATGCAAAACAATGAAAGACATTTGCCCTCTATATTTTATCACTACACATTTTGCACAATCGATACATTTGTTGGGTTTCTTAGAACAAATAACGAATCCTAAATCCTAGAGCCTACGGGCCACCCCGACTTAGGGACTGTCGTTCGATAAAAAAATCGGATGGCCCGGGCTATCGAATCTCGGAGGCACCGAGCCTATTAGGAAGGGTCTGAACATGAAAGGCTATGACCAACTTAAAATGGCTCGGAGACGTCCAAGCCCGTACTCAGAAAATAAGGCCCTTACATATGATTAAAACCTATTAAAAGGTTACCATCGGTAAAACACCGTCGTGTACGACTAAAACACTTAAGTATCTTAAAGGTCTTCATTGTTTATCGAGATTTTGAAGCCTAAACAACTCATAGTTATTATCGAAACCGGGCCTCATTCGGGCTTCCGGAGAACGGGTACTCTAGATTACGTCTAATTCTATGCTAAGGCATTAATGACGATCTTCAAATAAAAAATTGCAAACAGATGCTGAAAAATAATCAGTGTTGCCGAAGGGAAATTTTTTATATATTCCAAAAATATTTACAAAAACACGATAAAACGTCCTCAAAATAACAAAAAAGAAATATACAAAAGGAAACAAAAAAAGAGATGCTAAGGCATCTCCGCCTAATCTTCACTGGAGCCCGACTCATCATAGCTCTTTTGCCTCGGCCTCAAGCCTCTTGGCCTCTTCAATCTCGACTGACAATTCAAACCCCCGGGCATGAATCTCCTCGAGGGTCTCCCTGAGAGATAGCCACATTACATACTCGATCTTTGTTATTAAGCGGGCCTCAGCTTTTCAGCGTCGGTTATGTATTGGGCCAATATTTCCTCAACCTCGAAGGAATCAATCGAGGCTGCTTCTAACTGGACTTCAACGCAGTATATTCCCGACCGACGTCGTCCCGTTCCAAGACTGTTGAATCCAATTATGCCCGAATCTCGTCATTTAGCCGAGACTACTTATCGGGCTTATCATTCACCATCCGGAGTTTGTCCTTGACCGATGCCAACTCCTCTTTTGTAGCCTCAGTTTCTGAGGCCAGAAGGTCCATCTGCTCCTCAACGTCTCGACCGAAGTTTTGAGCTCGTTGATTTCGGCTCGGAGTTAGTCAATCCGGTCTATCTTCTCTTGGACCTATGAGGTTGCATCGTTATTCACCACTCGTAACCTCTCATTTTTAATCTAAAAAATCCTTACCTTCTTGTCCAAATCGGCATGCTCCCGTTTCACGGGCAAAACCTTACTCTGAGCTTTTTCCAGTTCATCTCGAAGAACAGGGAGATCCTTGAGGGCCTCGTCTTTTTGCTCGCTGAGAACCTTGTACATGTCCTTCTGTAGGACCTGCTCTTTGAGCTCGAACTCGAGCTGGGTGACTTCTATTCGAGACCGATGGAAGCTTTCATGATAGAGCACCAAAGTCTAAAAAACAAATCGAACAGATCATGAGAATACGCTGAAGTTAAATAAAATGCACAAAGGGCAAAAGGAAAGGGAAACTTACCCGGTTCAGTGCTTTTGTGTCTCGTTGAAGAGGCTCGATGTGCTCACCTCATTCATTTTCGCCTGGTCCTCTTCGGTCATCAGGCAATGAAGATAGCTGGCCACGCCATTGGAGCAGACAACACCTGGGTGTGCACCGGTATAGTAAACACGATCGTTCTTTAACTGTCGGGATCCACGCTCGGAACAGGGAACTGCTTCACCAACTTCGGGCTCGAGCTCGACTCACTTACTCCCGACGACACGTCTTTTTTCGGGATCTCCAGGTGACCAAAATCGAAATAATCCTCCAAAGTGCCCATGTCCACACCATCAAAGAACATGTTGAGGGCCTCGTGTGCAGCCCGTGCCGTCTCATTTGGCTTCTCCTTGATGGCCTGAGCCTCATCGAATAAGAAATCTGTATGGGACGGTAATTCCGCGATGTCAATGACACCGGCAACTTCCCTCGGAGCATGGATAGTTTCTCGGGAGACCGTAGTCTCGGTTTTCCTTCTGGCTCCCGAGCTAAAGAGGGATCGGCATGTCGGCCACTTCCTCTGGTTGCCACATGTTCTTCTTCATCAATGGCCGACCCATGGGCGACGAACTCTAGTTCGTCATCTTTAGGGTAATCCCTGAGCTGGTAGAGGGAGTCAGAGTCCGGTACCCTAGCCCAGGTACTCTTCTTATTGCTTTTTCGGACCCGAGCCCTTTCCCTCTTCATCTTGGCTTCGGCGTCCAGGAATCCTAGAGATTTCCTCTTTTTTCTCTTTTTCTCCTCATGTGCAGCAACTCTAGGTTGTCCCGAAGCGGAGGGTTTATCGAGTGAGGACGGAGCCTCATCCTCGTCCAATGCCCGAAGCTCAGTAGTCTTGGGCAATCCTATGAAAGAAAGATAACTTAGTGGAAATGACGGTTGAGTATGTGAATAGACTTGGACGGGATAAGCACTCACCAAAGGAATGGGTCTCCCACTTGCCCTTTGAGAGTTTGTGCCATTCACGCTCAAAGTACGACAGTTGTTTGCAGATCCCCTCGACCCACTCTTTGAAGTGAGGAATTGCGTTGGGAACTTGGGCAGCCGTTGCACGATGGTAGAAGCAGGCAATAAGAAAAAAGAACAAAAGAAATTCCAAGTACTCAGAAGAGAAAGGAACTTACGGGCTAAGTTCCACTTTTCAGGGAACGGTAAGAATTTGGAGGGAATGAGATCTTCGGTTTTACCCGAACGAATCTCCCCTGCTAGCCTCGATCCCAATCTTCATCGATGCTCGAAAATGAAGCTTTACTTTCCCGACGAACGAGCTTGATTAACCCCCTCCCTCCCGGAAAACTCGGGGACTGTAGAGATGAAGCAAGTGGTCGATGGTAAATCGAGGTGCTTCAGTATTGTTGACAAAATGGCAGAGGAGGATTATGATCCTCCAAAATGGGTGAATCTGTCCGAGGCAGACCTCGTACCTTTTGCAGAAGTTAAGAATTATGGGATCCGCCAGGGCAAGTGTAAACACTTAGATACCCCTCTACATAGGTGGTAATGTCCTTATCGGGACCCAAGGACGACCACTTCTTTGCCCTCCCAATTGCAGTCCTCCCGAATTATAGGGAGTGTATTATCGGCAATGGAGCATATATACCTCTATACCCCCTCGCCTCGGTCCTCTTGACTGGAGGCTTTTTTGACCTTGAAGTCGTTTTCAATGGAGCAACCTCCAGGGATGAAGCTCTTCAGGGGAGATTCCGGGGCCACTTCAGGTACGACCACCTCAGGATTCATGGCTGGGATAGAAGTTGAAGGGACAGTCTGTTGAGGCACAAATTTCGAAGTCTTCACTATCGAATTTTGGGAAATATGAAGATTTGAAGGTGTGGATGAAAATTTAAAGGTGAGGATGAAGGTTTGAAGGTCAGATTTGAAGATTAAAAGATGGAATATGAAGATTTGAAGATGAAAATATGAAGATATATGGAACAATATATGAAGAATTGAAGGGGTTGAGAATAAGTGAAAAGTTCGGGGGTAAATTAAGGAGCTCTGGAATCGGAAAGTAAAAAAGTGAAAAAAGGACCGAAGTTTTTATAGAGAAAGGGTAATCAATGCATGGTGTTTCGCATTCAGGGACGGTCAACGGACGACTGATATGTGTCCGAAGTCAGAACAACGCGACTGATGGGACGTTTCAATGACCCGTCAACTCGGTTGTAGCGTACAGAAGAAGGAATCGAGGTTAATTCATCGGTTCTCGTGACTTCGATAAATTTGCTCTAGAAAAGCGAGGGGACTATCTGTGTACGGAAAAAATCGGGGGCAAAATTTTCACCGATTTCCCAATAAGGAAACAAGAGGGAAGCACGGTTCGACACGACTTTAAGCAAGGCCGAAAGACCCCTCGTATCGGAACCCGAAAGAAGCGAACGATGTATCTGGGATCGGGCACGACAAAATACTAGACCCAGATCAAGTAAAGTTTCTAGACCACGGGAAACACAGGGAACAATTATGCTTGACAAATAGGGAGTTGTAATATTCGCCCTCAACAGGATATTATGGGGCGAATCCCGTCCGATATCAACTGCGGATCGACATTTACCGGAAAAATAAGATTTTTACCTTATTTAGACTTGTATTAGGACTGAAATTCCCCTAATATAAATGAGAAAGTTTCTTTTATTTTAACACATTGTTGACACGCAAATCAAAGCAATACAAATTTATTTTTGTCTTCTAGCTATTATTTAAAGTGCTCTTCAGTCATTCATATTAAATTTAATCACGTATTCTTTAAATCACGTACAAATTTAATTGTTACTATTTTTTAGGGTAAACAAATATATATTAAAAATTCTGTTTGAGTAAACGAGCTATTTCGAGACAACTCATACGAAGATGTAAATATCACATTTGAATATACGCACAATTTAAATTATTATAGACAGTAAAAGTCAAGTAAGAAGATACTATTTTATCCTATATTACTACTGGATGGAATTAGATCGTGCTCGAAAATATGAGCTTTCTAATATTAGATTATTTCCTTACCCTTCTAACTTCAGCAACGAGAGTTTAAAATAGGAATACTCCTCTTTACTTGATTCCGACCATCCTTAGTGCATACATTACTAATTGGGTTTATCAAAATACTAATCATCTACTTAAAATTATTTGCCGATATCACACACCAATTCTAATATACTGTTGACCGTTAGTTAGTCTAGTAGCGAGGAAAAAGGTCGAGAAAAAAAGTCAAAAATGGGCACATCAAACTTAAAAACTGAAAACAGGTCCACGTCTCCTTCGGTAGAGTTACGTCCCAACAACACCACGACGCGCTCCAACCTTTGATGTAACCGACACGTCATTCTCCGTGCTAAAATAGCCGTTTACACTTCCTTTGTACTCGTCGTTATTAATTTCACAACAACCAACCAACCATGGCTGCCGCCGTGACTGAGAAAATTATGTCGCCGTCGCCTCCGCCGTCGCAGCACATGCATCTCTCGCCTTCCACTTCCCGGCGTGGCCTCGACGCCGCCTTCGATACTGATGCTCTCGATCGCCGCCCTTCCCTTGATCTTTCCTCTTCTTCTTCCCCTAGCCCTTCACGATTATCTGATGCTCAGGTTACCTTCTTTTTAATTAATTTGTTCAATTAATTTCTACTCGATATTGCATTAGGAGTCCGAATTATGAATTAAATTCCGCAATTTTAGTGTATACTATATGAATTTTTTGGGTGATCATAGCTTCAAAGAAAGTTTCTATTCTGGTTTATTGTTGCATGCAAATGAAGAACACTTTTTTGCTTTTCAAGAGTTTGTCAAAATGAACTAACTAAATTTAAACAATTTCGGTGTTGTGGTTGGCGAATGATTTGACTGTGTGTGGCTGATTGCAACAATTATCAATTTTGTGACAGAATCAGCTGTTTGTGAGGAGTGAAGAGTATCGACAACTGTTCCGTTTACCACCCGATGAAGTGAGTCTATTCTCTTATTTGTTAATTTCTCTATTAATTTGTTTGCATTGAATTGTGGTAGTTTACTTGTGATTCACCAGGGGCGGATGTAGTGAAGAAGCTACGGTTCATCCAACCTTAGTAGCTTTGGCTTAAACCCTGTATATGTGTTTGAAAAAACCCACTAAATAAGTTCAAATAATAGATTTCGAACCCATTAATTGGACTTGATGTAGTAGAATTTTGAATCCGAACTCATAAAGTTCAAATTCTGTATTCACCAGGAGAAACTATGTCCGTTTTCCCTTGGTATTTTAATGTCTTTAGAAGTGTCAGTATTTCTAATTATCAATTCTTGTTTGAAGCTTAATCTTGTAAGACAACAAACAAATTGCGAAACTAGAACTATCAAAATTCCTTTTGGCGTGGTTATAGAATATAACTTCTCCGGCTATGTGCAAACAAAAACTGGTCCCAAGTTGGAACAAAGAAAGAGCGTTGTACACAGAGAAGCTCTTTTGACTCCGGACAATCTCAGGAAGAGGGGAATGCCACTTTGTTCAAGATGCTATTTGGGTGGGCAGGATGCAAAGACAATCAATATCTATTTTCACACTGCAGGATTGCTAGTCAACTGTGGTATTTGTCCATCAATCTTAGAGGCATTAGATGGACAATGCCAGGTAGATCTTCTGATGTGTCGACAAGCTGGAACAAAGAAGGAACTTTAGCTGAAACAAAGACATATGGAAAATTGTCCCTGAAAGCATCTGGTGGGCAGTATGGAAAGAGAGGAGTTCAAGTTGTTTTGAAGATAGGCGCAGTTTCTTACAGCAGATTAAGATTGATTATGTTCTTCTTTTTAGTTTATGGGTAAATCTGAATATATAGATGATGCTGAGGCTATCCTATATGTGCTAGATTCCTTGTAATAAGATCAAGGTTTTATTTTGGTTTTTAATTTTGGTGCCATGATGTAACAATTTATCTCTCTCTCTCTCTCTCTCTCTCTCTCTCTCTCTCTCTCTCTCTATATATATATATATA